TGAAGAAAAGCATATTACCTGATTTGCTTTTAGGCTCAGGCCAAGTCCTGCTGTGTCATGCTTCTTAACTTTACACTCTGCACTTCTACAGCAGTTTAAAAATAAATCATCTACCCTATCCAACACAGAGGCCCTGGCTTTTTAAGGGGCTTTTGAATTTCGAAGGAAATGGAATTCCTTGACCTGCCTGTGGGCACCAGCTGCACCTATACTGGAGGCTGGAGTGGAGGGTGGGACATGGCAAAAGGTGCTTAGTGCTCCTCTTGAGGTCAGGTTCTTTCAACAAACCAGAGCAGCAGGTGTACACCTTTCTTCTCCTTTTCTTGATTTATATCATTAAAAAAAAAAACCAGGGAAATTAACATCAATATGCAGGTGGACATGAATGGGAAAGAGCCTCCTAGCCTTGAATGGAAGGAAGTGCAATGGGAAGCTCCATACCCTAGGGCTGGGGAGAGCAGGAATCCGGAGGCCCCGCTGATTCAGAGCGCATGTGCGTGAGTGTGCGAGGGTGCACATGGGTGTACGCGTGTATGGTGCGGGCTCAGGTCTGCTGCTTCTGCCACCTCCGTGCCATCACCTCTGACCAGCGGGTTCCCCGAGGCTCGGCCAGTTATCCTATTGACAGATTTTGCACTGAGGACATAGGGAAAATAAATACTTGAAAACTGCCTACCTGGGGACCTGGGGCAAGTTGTGTGCAAACATAACTGGGGCAAAGCAGTGTGCAAATTATAAGCTGCTTAAAATCCCAAATGAATGCCTTGCCCACATAAGCTATTTTGCTATATATGATATATATCAGTTATGTAAAAGGGAAATGGAAAGTTTGCAGGATATCAGCTACTCCGTTCTCCGAATGAGGCACTGCAGCCTCAAATTCTAAATGGCAAAATAAACTTAAATAATCCTCCTTGCTTTCCGTCAGAAGGAAGCTAAAAATCATACCGTAAGGTGTGCATGTGTGATAGTACAATGTTATCGGTGTCTTCCTGTAGACAGTCAGTGTTTATGTGAGTGTGGGAAGCGGGTGAAGAGACCGAGACAGACCGACTTTCGATGTCTTGCTTTATAGACAGGATCACATGATGGTGGTTTCAGACTCTACATGACAGAGTAGGGGAGCATCCACGTGAAGCAAAGATGTATCTGAGGAAAAGACATCTGGAAATTATCACAATTTGCATAAATAGGGGGCACTTAGGCTCCGATATCAGGATACACTACACACTATGAAAAAGGGCACAGGTGGGTGTTGAGGTGCAACAGTGTGAGTTCTTTTTAATTTATATTGGAAAAGAGAAAGCGTGGGTGACAGATCATTCTACTTTGGATACTTCGATTGACTTTGATGTGTTTCATGTGATATCAGACAACAGAATAGAGGAACCAAAGTTTGAGTGTCACTAGCCATCAGACTCCCAACTGGATTCCTTCAGCACTTGGTCTTCTGCCATTTAAAAATAAATCAAAGTTTAAATGCTTATTATTTTCGTTCTTCAATGTTTGAAACATGAACTATATATTACTGTTTCTGTTTTGCTTATTTTTATTTGATTTTCCCCCCTCCCCTTTTTGTTCTAGTGGCATGCCCTCTCCCGTGAAGAGCAGGCTAAATATTATGAATTAGCGCGGAAGGAAAGACAGCTACATATGCAGCTTTATCCAGGCTGGTCTGCAAGAGACAATTATGTAAGGCCCTTCTGCACACCAAATGGCTCTTTACTTTCACTCATTCTTTCTTCCTGTTACTTTCATGAAGGAAATGTGTTCTAGAATGTATCTAATGCTGGTACTAGTTCCTATTTTTGGAAGTTAGTGAACTTTATAATAAAAGATTTCATAGATCTTTCGTAGTTTGAAAGCTTTTGGCTATAAGTACTAAAGAATTTTTTAAGTAAAACTTTTTTAATAAAAAAAAAAAAACTACCATATCATTAAAATGTTGGTGAAAACGATTTTTTTAAGCCTGTAGTCTCATGTATAGGCAACGTTAGTAATAACTAGTTATGTTACCTTCCAATGTTTTTTCTGTGAATATGTTTTTATCTTTTACTTGGCTATAAGTGTGTGTGAGTGTGTGTGTGCATGTGTGTGTACATAAACTTCTGTGTCATGCTTCTTGCTATTATATATAATAAGCATTTTTCTGTGATGGCATAGTGTTTTTATATTTTAGTCTTAATGGCTATACAAGATTTTATTGAGGGAATGTCACAATTTACTTAACCATTTTCCCTGCTTTTAGAAATTTAAGTTGCTTTCTGTTTTTTTATAATTGGAAGTAATCCTGCAATGAACAGATCTATGTGTAACAATCTTTTCTGTATTTAGAGCTATTATTTCTGTAGGAAAGATTCACAGTAGTAGAATTGTTGAATTAAAGAGTATAAATATTTTAAAGGCTCTTGATATGTATTGTCAAATTGTTTTCTAAAAGATTATATTACTTTACAATTCTTATAAATGATGTATTCAAGTGACTGTTTTGCCAGAGACTAATCAGAACTGAGAGAAAAAAAAATTGTTTCGTATTAATATACCTTGATGTCTATTAGGTATCTTATTCGGACAGAGTAAGTAGGATCATATTTTTAAACTGCTAATTTTATTGGCAAAAATACCTCATTTGTTTTGCCAATGATGTTACTACTTTAGTTTGAACATCTTACTAATGAAGTCTTGATATAGCAAAGATTATTTCTGAGAAAGTATATTATAAATGATATAGAGGGGAGCAATTTTGATTATTTATACTCTTAATTCAAAATTCTTAAGATAATTTTTATTTTTCATGTGAGACTGTCATTCGAAATGCCAGCTAGCACAGTCCGTAAGGGAAGCTGACCCTTGTAAAAAAGGCACAGGTGACTCGGTTAATACGTAATTTAATGTGGCGATTGCTGTAGACGGTCCCGCGGGGCTGCATGTCTGAGGTCGTATGCCCCATACAGTGAGACCCCCAGACTTCTGGAGCACATCTGTTTCTTGTAACATGCTCCGGAGAACGGTTCACTATGGGTGAGGACTTGGAGCTCAAACATTGGTACAACTATGACAGAGGAAGTGAGAGTCCTACTGTTTGTTACTTATGAGCAGCAGCTCGTCAGCTCTCCTGAGTTGTTATTTTAATAACTACCATATGCCAGTTGTCAAGAACTGTTTAAATACCTTCTGTGTTATCGTATGATCCTCACAGTAATTCCACAGCATAAATAATAGTACTGCATTTTACAGATGAGAAAATTGAGGGGTTGGGAGGGTCGAGTTAATTTGTCCATGGCCATGTAGGGGCTTCCCCATCTACGCAGTTTCTCTGCTAAGCTGACCAGCTCAGTCTTCCAGTGCCTTCTTAAGCAGACTGCTTTAGTCAAGGAGTTTTGTCTCCTAAACTGTGCTTCTGTTCTCTTGACTGTAATTAGCATCTTCCTGGGGTAAAGCCTTTGCGATGCCCTTTAAGTGGGAAGATCAGTTTCTACCTAAAGGGTTTCAAAAGTGTCCTCTTCGAACCTTGTCCTTTTGGATGTGGTTTGCCTAAAAGGGCAAATTTGACCTTCCCTCTCTGACCCATGGAAGGGCTTTGCTGTGCTGTGAATTTGTGTAGATTTAATTAGCATTGCTTGTTGAATGTCTTTGAGCAAAGTTTTGGGTTCTGATCCTTAAGTAAAGGAGTGAGTTTTCACTTTTAAAAAGAGATCAAAGAAACATATTCTCTCCCTCTTTCTCTCTGTCCTCCATGTGGAAAGATGGGAAGAAAGTAGTTTTAAAGAAACCCAGTCTAACATGAATTTACCGAAAAGCTTTTCCTCTCTCTGCATAATTTTTAAAGGAAGTTTTTTCATTTATCTCGATTTTAGGATTTCTTGAGTGAAGAAATCCTAAAACCTCACCTTTGTTACATACAGTTTTTATAATGAGCAAAATAAGCCTATTAATTACTAAGGCAAGCAGAAGTCAATCAAGTGATAGCACTTTCGCTAAAGATAGTATTCTAACATAACAGTACAAGAATAGAGTCCAAACAAGAAATGTGCCTTGTATCTTAGTATTTAGTATTTATTCAGAATGCTATGCTAATCCTCACTGAGATATATTTACCATTGAATTCCCTGTTCTATGGCATCATAAATTTTATAACCTCAATTTGTTTTCATCGTTTTATTTTTTGTAACTTTTATAACTGAAGTTTGCATAAATCAACAACTGTACATATTTTCTTAGGTGAGATAGGCCAAATATTTATATTGTCAGAGCTTTTAATTGTAATGCTTAATAGCCCCAGTATTATATGTAATTTTAATGAAAAATATTTTTGTGTTTATCACACATGAATTTTGTGGGGTTTGGGGGTATAAATTAACATTAATACATCCAAACTACTTAGCTTTTTGTTTACCGTAAATGTAAGTTCTCTTGAAACACTTTATCCCTGGAATGTAGTACAGGTTATTTCACAAAGGCAACCACAGTCCTACACCGCACTGTTAGGTGTGTGCTGGGAGGCAGAGGTGTCCTGAGGACTCAGGTGGTGTTCTTATGAGCCATGGTCCTGTGGTGAAGGGTGAGGGACAAAGCCCGTCACATGCTTCTGTGAAGAGTTGTGTTTCTGCAGTGAGCTCTGCCGGAGGGTAGGGTGAGAAGGGGAATGGATGTGGGGTGGGACAGAGAAGGTTCTTGGAAGAGATGACACTTGAGGTGTATTTAGGGGCCCGTGGGGGCTGGGAGGAGAAAGTGAGGAAGACTGTTCCAGATGTAAAAGGACCTCACAGCCCCTCGTGAAAATCACAGAAATTCCACTTGAAAGGGAGATTTCGGGTCCCTGTGAGAAGCATGCTCTCCCTCTGTCTGCTCCCCGCCTCCCAGAGCACCTTTCGTAATCTTAAAGGAGACTGTCATTTTGGGTATTCCATTTCCCAGGGCCACAGACAGGTACCTGCTGGTTGCCATAGGGTTTGTGAGGATAGATTCAGTCAGCTTTCCAAGGCTTTCCGGCTTCAGTGGTCAGGTCATGTGACATGAAGAAAAACTATCTTGCAGTGCATAAAAATATTATTTTTATATATTCACTATGTTCAATATTATTATAGAGTTTAGTTTTTTTTTGTGAATGTGATTATTACAGCAGACATATAATAGAGATATTGGATACGATGTGTGTTCTGTTAGTTACTTGAAAATACCACCCTAATCCAGGTTGGTTCATGTAAATCAAATATGTATGGTGTCTCTGCCCTATTACAATTATTTATTTGAGGGGAAAGTCATTATGAAGAAAAATGGAAAATTAGACCACTATAAATGGGACCTAAATTTTTAAATTTGTGATTATGATGATTTTGAAATGTATTTAAAATTGCATGCATATCCATGTTATATCTGCTTTAGGAAGCAAGGTCCTTAAGTGCCAGAAATAAGTATTTGAAATTACGTTGTTTTCTCAAGTCCTCCTTTCCCCTCTTTCCACCATCCTTGGTTATGTTACACTTACACTTACACCATGGGAGCTGAGGGTCCTCGGTTAACATCCTTACCTTTTAATTCTATGGTGGAAATCACGGTAATGAAGATTTATCATGAATACAGGCAGAAGTGGGTTCTAAGTGTGGTGGTTAAAAACAACAGGTCTGCCTCTTTAAGCGGACTTTTCTTGAAGGGGGTTCTATGCCCACGGCCCTAGGATGTCGTTATCCTAGTGTGCGTGTGAGCCCACTCCTAATTGAGTACTGATGATGTTAAATATGAGGCCATAGAGACAAAGATCACAAAGAAGTAAGAATTTATTTTCTCTTTCTCTTGCTTTCTGACTGTGTCTAGGTAAATACGTGTGTGTGTGTGTGTGTGTGTGTGTGAGAGAGAGAGAGAGAGAGAGAGACTGAGAATGCATGAGTTATCTTTCTTTATTGACCATATTTTTGAATCACATTCACCCATGTGTTCACAGGACAGTCTATAACATGACAATGTGCCCATCTTCTTCTAGGGTAAGAAAAAGAAGAGGAAGAGAGAGAAGCTACAGGAATCTACATCAGGTAGGCACCCTGTGACTTTCCAGTTGATTCTCTGACAAGCACCTTTAAAGTAGTTTGCATCTTTCTACACACTGCTTTATTCTGCAGCTACAACTTGTGATATTTTAACTCTGCTTTTCCTCCTGAAATTCTTTAAAAATGTTTAAGAGACTTTTCTTTTAAATGTGACTGTGTGAAGGTACATCTAAAACCTTTTTATTCCAACCCTGTCACCTGGAATCCTGATTGTTAGCTGTGGTTGGTTGGTTTGTTTTGTTTTTGCTTCTGTTCTATGTTCTCTTTGCTTTAACACTTCTATTTGTACAACTCTTCACAGTAAAAAAAAATTTTATGGTGATTATATAATACGCTACCTTATATTCCCTTGAGAATCTTTTCTGTGGTTTATGTTATTTACAAATATAAAACATGATGATAGGGTTTATCTTTCCTATACATTAATTCAAGGCGTCAGTCAGTGAGGTCCTGTTTATTTCCCCTTTTTCTTTCATTAAAAGTAAGACCACTAGTACTGCACAAATAAAAATGGCTGGTATAAGAACCATAAAAAGTAAAGCAAACAAGTCCACATAATGTTGTAGCTACTACATATTTGGAATGTTCAAAAACCTCTTCAATAAAAATTTGTTAAAGACACAATTTTCTGCAGGTACAGGTCCAAGAATGACAGCTGCCTACATCTGAAACATGGTAAGAATGACTCTTTGGTCCTACTGCTGACATTCGTTATAAACAGAGGCACTTGCTTGTGACTCTCCTTGCTCACATGGATGCCGTTCAGCATTGCTCCTTTAAAGACGAAATGCCACCAAAGTCAAATTAGTGCTTTAAAAAATCTGATGGTTTTTATACCGGCTATGTATTTGCAATATAGTATGCTTTAATCTCTTCCCTTTTCCTCCTTTGCCCCTTTAATCTTCCTTCGTTCCCTTTCCCCTAACTAACTCTCTTTTCAACCATTCCTTACTCTGATGCGTGGCAAATTTGCCTGCTTAAAAAACAAACAAACAACACAAACCAGCAAAACGTCGTCTTCCTCAGCAAACCCAGGGCCCATTCTATCTCAGGGCTCAGCAGTTTTTGCTCTTCAGAGACTTCTCAATTGAGATGATATATAGGTACTTGAAAGTAATGTATTTGTTCCTAGGGTGAAAGATAGATGTGCTTTATTTTTTTTTTTCTGTTTAAAAATATGGCATGGGGACTACTTATTTCATTAATTGTATTCTGCCATCAAGTTTTTTCTTTATTGGTAACCAATGCTAGATCTCCCTGTAGTATTTATAAGTAATATTTGTTCCATCTCTTTTTGCTCTAATTCTTTAATTTTTGACCACATAACAACCAGCCCAGGGAACCTGGTTTTGTACATTGATTTGGTCTTTGCTAAGCTTTGAACCCACAGTGTGTCTGCATCTTCTCCCGGTGACAATTCTTTTCAAAGGAGCCACCTTGGGTTCTACTCTCTGTAACAACCCACATCCAGGTCCTGTCACTTCTGTCTTCTGGGTCTGTCTGGCTTTCCTCTCATAGCCCTCACTGCCACAGCCCAGCTCAGGTGCGAACACCATCTGGATTATGATAACAGCCTTTGGCTCTTTATCCTGCCTCCAGACTTTCTTTCTGTCAGTTCATCTTTGATGTTGCTCCCAGAGGGATTCACTAAAACACAAGTTGATTGTGTCACTTCCCGACTAAGAACGGTCAGTGCTTTCCATCATCTGAACAGGACGAAGTGCAAAGCACTTAGTGCAGCTCAACCTCTACCTTCTCCTCAGAGTTCTGTCCTCAGTCATCCTTGCTCTCCACCTGTCCTTACCTCCTCCCTATCCCTGTGAATCCTGTGCTCAGTCCAAGCAAAATTATTAGCCCCCCAGATAGAGGGAGGCCGCTGTACCCTGCACCCTGCGCTAGGAAGCCCGATTTCTCTGCCCGAGGAAGGGACCGATCTGCAGTGCGTCCAAGGAGAAGAGCATTAGCCTATAGATCACTTGGTTCTTAACTAGATGACCCCTACTTTTTAGAACTGATTTTTTTAGAACTGCATTTTGGTGCTAAAATTTGAACAAACTTTCCCAAAGGAGCCAGCAGAAATTTTGGTACCACATCTGCATTTTAAGTTAAACCCACCGTTTGCCTGGGCAGTCTACTTCAGCTTTCGAATCTTCATATTCTCCATCTGTGAAACAGGAATGATAACGCCTACCACCTACAGCTGTTCGTGTGTCGCATAGGCCTGCCCTCCTCCGTCCACTCCCCCTGAGACCTGACTCAGTGTCCTCTTTTTCTGTGCAACTTTCCTCATCTTTATTCAGATTCCCCTGGTTCTTCAACATTCTGTCACCGTAGTTTCATGATATCAAAACTCTTCTGAACTCATACGGAGTGGCGGGCTTTTCTCTGAGTGAGAAGAGGATCATTCCTTCCTCTAGGTGTCCGAACAGGGTGCCCAAACAATAACATCACAGGCGCACATTCAACCCAACAGCAGTTAATCGAGGACCTGTATGAGAGGGCCTCCTGGATTGGTTATTAGGAGCACAGAGGTGACTTCATCACAGGCCCTGCCCCAAGAAGCTCACGGCATCGTAATAGAAGTAATTCTAGCGACAATCGCACACGCGGGCTTTTGTGGGTCTTGGCATTCCTTTTTTGTCTTTGGAAGGCTGCTGTCCCTGATTCCTGCGTGCAGGTGTGGATAGCAGCCCTTCCGGGCCCTTCCTCTAACTAGGATCCCTCCGGAGTGCGGTGTGCTGAGGACCGGCACGCACCGATTCACTCTGCCGTCCGATCGCCCCGAAATTCTTCATGCTACCTCTGTGAGAAATCATACAAAAAGGTGTATCTGTACTTCAGAGTTCGGTGTTTGATTTTGTGTTCTTATTAACATTACATGACATTTGATTTTGTGTTCTTATTAACGTTAACATGACGTAGTGTTTTCGATTAGAAGATTAAGCTGAGTATGTTTGTCCTAGGGTGTATCCCAGACATCTTTTTTATTTTTTTTTAAATAAGTCACAGCTGTCATTGTGCTTTCTTGTCACTCATTCTTTTCTAAAGGTTAAAATGTCCTCACTAACCTGTACCAGAAAAACAAAACAAAGTGTCCCCCATCATCTTCAAGAAAAGACTCCCACCAGCCGTCCGGCGGTGCTCCAGATGGCAGAGGTTCACTTACTTGGCGTCTCCAGTGATACTGTCCCATCTCGTTGCCGGATTGATCCCGCAGCCTTTGAAGTCACTCCCTTCTATACTGTTCTATTTCAGAGAGCAGTGCTGGCAGGCATTTGATAAGAATTACTGAGCAGAGAGGAGCTCAGATTTGCATTCATTAAGATTTCAGTAAATTAGGAATGATAATATTCCTAC